AAAAGGTCCGTGCTGTTAAGCCACACAAAGACGTGTGTGAATTGATCGATTGATTGATTGATGACAGTGTAGAGGATTGAACCTAGAGCCCTCGCATTGAGCTACATCCCTAGCCCTACCTCTTTACTTGTTATTTTGATAAAGGGTCTAGCCAAGTTACTAAGTTGCCCAGGCTGAGACTGAACTTTAGATCCTCCTGCCCCAGCCTCCTAGAGTTCTGGGAATGAGTGAATCTTAAAGTCATATGAGTATCAAGGACGCCACTGAAGGGCACGGGGTGAGGCAGGGAGGATGCAGGCCATGGGAATGGGCGAGGTCTGGAAGGTTAAAGGCTGAAGGCCCTGCAGGAGGCCTGTTCTCTGGTTAAGAGTGTCTTTGCTATGATCTGAAAGGAAGGTTATTTACAATCAAGTTGAATGAATCATGCGATTATCAAGTGGAGTGCTCAAAGGGTTATATTTTGACGTGGTGAGTTTAATTGATATGATAAGTGCTTGTCAAGGAAATCCCAGAAAAGCCAGGTAACCACCTGTGACAGAGACAGGGGGATTCAGAGCAGGTTCCCCTGCGTAGAGGCTGCGGCAAGGGAGGGAAGTCCTGGCTGGGGCAGGGCAGGTGAAGACGAGCTTTTCGACCTTTTATATTTTGCCCTCGTTGATATGATTAGTAAAACATCAAACATGAACAAAACTTCCCGGAACAGAGGAACGGGGTTAGAATCGCTGTTTCCCACAAGGGGCTTCTTTGAACGATCACCTCATCCATGTGAGTAAACTCTGGGTGTTTTTTATTTTAAAACAAAACAGAACAAAACAAAAATCCACCTGACCCCTTTCTGAGCCAGCCTAACAGAGGACATACTGTCCCTTGGTCCTTGGGGCATGCCCTTGCCCCGGCAGAGCAGTGCAGAGCGCGGAACGTGGATGTCAGAATCCGTGCCCCTCACCAGCACCGTGGCCTTGGGAGCTGACCCAGGCTTAGATCTTTGCTGGCCTCGGTTTCCTCATCCCTGTAACAGGGCTACCGTTCCCACCCAGGGGGCGGCAGTGGGAACTGGAGAAAATGTGTTCAAACTACAAGCCCAACAGCTTGGCAAGGCCTTTGATTATCAGTGACGGCCCTTACCAAGAGCCTGGGGTTGGCCATAGTGGCCCGGTTTGGGCTTTGCGGGTGGCCCATAGTCCAAGCAGCTCGGGAGGGCCGTCCATGGGTGCTCAACATGAGGATGGCAACAGGGGTCACTCACTGTCCAGGGGTTGCAGAGCCAGCCCAGGAGGCTGGGCCAAGCCCTGTGTGAGGCAGGGGAGAGGTGGCCTGAGGCCAGGGGCTGGGCCTCCATCTTCAGAGCTGAGGTCCAGAGGGCAGAGGCATGTTCTTCCCTGTGTCCTTGGCTTCTTTCAGTAGGCTATCTTCTGCCTCAGTTTCTCCCTCAGGGCCTGGGATGAAGATGAGCCCCTTGCACCCTTGGAACAGGGGTGGCAAAAGCACCTACTTATTTAAAAAGTCCTCAGCAAGCTGCCAACAAGTAAGGGCCAACAGAAGACCGGGCCTTTGCTGTTCTGCCTGCTTACCATAATTTCAAAACAGTTTTCTGGCCTGTGGGAAGATGCTCTCCTGGGCTGGAAGTGCCCCTGGGTGGGTGGCAGCAGGAAAGTGCCAGGCTCTTGCCAAAATAAACCCAACTCCTCCCCCTCCTCGGCAGCAGAGTGCCCACCCCACACGGCCGGGGCTTCCTGGGGCCACTGGGCCGTGGCCGTCGTAAATAGTTTAACTGTGTTTATGCAGCAGTAACATGCGTGTTACCTTTCGCAGTGGCCACATTCCAGAGGGCAATCTTGGGTGATTTACTTCTCCCCACACGGTGACCTGTTCCTGTAGTGGGTGGGTGGCCTCTGGGGCCCAGCTCTGTGATCCCAAGGAGCTGTTTTTAAAGAGTTGCCTGGCACGAGAGATGTCATGTCCCCACCTTGCCCTGCCCACTATGCATGTGTGTTCCTCAGAGGAGCCTAGGCCGCTGTCGTGGGCTGTGGTGTATGAAACCAGCCCATTGTGTTCATAGTGATAGACGGACAGACAGATGGACAGATGGGCGAGTGGAAGTGGGCTCATTGTGCTTTCTGCTGGCCCTGGAGCCCACTCAGTGGCAGCCAGGACAGAATGACAGCTAGCCTTGGTGTGGCTCTTCTGCGGTCCCAGGTACCATGTTCTATGCTTCAACCCCTTTTATAGACAGCAAAACCAAGGTGGGGAGAGGTTCCCCCATAGACATGGAGTGAGTGGGGCATGTGTAGCACACACTGCCACCTCTACTCCACCCTCCAGCCCTGGGCCTCAGCCCTGCAGTTCTGGCCTGGATGGGCCTGAGCCAGCTGGAACATGGAGTCCAAGGAGCAGGGAATGGCTGAGTGGGGGCACGGGCCTCCCACTTGAGCTGTGTGTGCACCAGGTCAGGGATCTGTCTTCCATACATGTGTGAGCGGCTCGCCTCTAAGAACACTGTCTGCATAACACATGTGTATGCACATGCTGTGCACACCTGCTTATACCCCTGGTCCAGAAGCCCACCCACGCATGTACGTCCCATCCACATCCCTGCGGGAACACACACAGGTATACACACCCAAGCTCACACGGGTGTAGTGTATGCTGCCACTTTGCTAGCCAAGAGCACTCTTCGTTCCTGGGCCTCCAAGAGGCAGAAGTGTTTCCTGAATTCCCCTCTGCAGACTTAAACTGGGGGGCTCTCCAGGAAAGGCCCAGAACCAGGGGACACAGACATCCCTGGGGCCCAAGTTGGCCCAGGAACCCTCGCTCACAAGGACTCCAGCGTCTCTGAAGATGCTGTCCCAACCTCTGGAGGTTGAGCCGCCTACCTGGTCCCAGTCCTGCCAGAACCTAGGCTCTCCTGCAGCTCTGAGGCCTGGGGTAGAGCCTAGGGCCCCTTCCTCAACATACAGTAGAGCTGGGCAGTGTCCCCAAAATAGCCAGGTGAGCCCAACCCCAAAAGCCCACTGGGCTGTGTCCACACGGCCTGCAAAGGGTTTCCCTGATGCCCAGCTAGGCCTGTCGAGGATCACATGGGGCTGCACCTAGGCAGTGAGGGTCCAGACCTCGGGCACAGTGTCACCTGCCAAGAGCTGGGCAAGCAGCCCACTGGCTAGGACCAGCTTCAAGAATGCAAGGCTAAAGAGCCCACACTTGGTTTAACACTTGCTTTTGCCGTCTTGAAATTCTTCCTCATTTTTGAGCAAGAGCCCTGCAAATTCTGTAGCCCCTCAACCATAGGCAAAGGCTCCCTGTGGGTGAGGTTGGCATGGCCTCCTGATGCCAACTTCCTGCATTCCTGTGTGCCCCTGCTCTGGGCTGGCCCGGGCCACAAGATGTGGGCAGCTGTGGTTTCCCAGCGCCCACAGTGCAGCCGCAGCGTTTGAAGACGCACTTCAGGGCTGTCCTCAGACTGTGTTCCTCCTGTCGCCCGGTCTGCGGTTGCCCTTGCTGACTCCCACCCCACAGTCGCCTGCCTGCTGCCACCAGGGCACAAGAAAACCATGCCAGCCACGGGCTCTGAGCCCGTGATAGATGATCAGCACAGCCCACCTCACCCTCAGCAGCTCTAAGCCTCAGCTATGAAATTGAGACTCAGAAGTCCTCCCTGCGGCAGATCGCTGGTGGTTTGTGTCCCCCAGATGTTCATGCATTGGAGGTGTGGTCTCCAATGTGATCACGTGATTATAAATTATAGTGGAACCACTAACAGGTGGTGCCTGATAGAAAGTGATGAAGCCATTGGGGTGCCACCCTCAGAAGGGATTAAGGCTGGTCTCCCAGGGTGAGCTACTGTAAAGAGCAAATCTGACCCCCGAATCTCTCGACTCCTGTCTCGTCCTGTAGGTTCCTCCACACACTTCTGTGGCAACGTGAAGCCATTGCCATGAGCCCCAAACTTCAGGAACTGTGAGCTGGATACCTTTTTCCCTTGTAAAGTTCTGGCCTTGGGTATTTGGTTATAGCAATGGGGACCAGGCTGATGCACCTGGTAACCAGCCTCTCACTCCATGGGCACCAGAGAGGACTCAGCTTCAGTGGCTCCTGGGTGCAGTGTTTATTGAGTGCCTGTGAAAAGCTGCCAGCCAAGGGCTGGGGATTTAGCTCAGAGACACAGCGTCTGCCTGGCAAGCACAAGATCATGAGTTCAGTTCCCGGTACTGGAGGAAAAAAAAAAAAGCTTCCAGCCAAGAGTAGCTTCTCTTGCCGGTGGGCACAGCCTCAGCGAGGCCTGGGCAGCTGCAGGCAGAAGCAGAAGATATTTAACTGGCGAGCAGACAGAATGCTGGGGAACAGACTCAAATGGGGAAACCAAGGCCTGGGTGGGGTCTGACTCAGGAGCCTCGTTCCTGGAGCACACTTGCAGTAGGTGGGCAGCCTTGACATGCCCTCCTGCCAGCCACGCCCCCTGCAGGCCTGGGAGCTCCCATGTTCCCTCTCCTCACCGGCCTCCCCCCACCTGTGGTCCCCAGGGCTCTGAATTATTCAGCCTGGGAACAGGCAGTGAGTCTCTTGTCTGCCCCAGGCCGCAAAAAAATAGATTATGTTTTTTTATTGGCGGTCCCTTGTTAACTCATAATTGCAATCATGTAACATTTAATAGTGGCACAAAGCGATCCCCCTTGCTGCCTGGCAATCATTCATTAGCTAACAAGATGGAGTGGCTCATAAAAAAGGGCTGTTAAAAAAATTCCCGAGAAACGGAAAGCAGGAGGTGATGCAAGCCCTGGTTAACAAAGGCCGGGGGACTAGGGGAGGCGGAGCAGTGAGAAAGGAATAACCCAGCCCTGATAAACCACGCAGATCCCTCACCCTCCTCCCGCCACCGCCGCCGCTGCTGCCGCCGCCACTGGGCCTGACTCAGAGCAGCCAGGATGTGTTCAAAATCGAGCAATGCAATTAGCAGCTTGCATCATGCACTGATTATAAATTACAATGGGCACAGAGAGGGCGGATGGAGGAGCAGGGATTAGATGGGGTAACCTGATCCCAGTGGCACAGGGGTGGGGAGACCGTTCAGCCACTCGGGGATCCCGGTGGCCTCTGCCTACCTAAAGAGTCACAGGACAGCCGTAATAAGCCTCCCTCAATGCCTGCTTTGTGTGGCCCAGGATAATGATTTACTAACTACAGGAATCGGGAGGTGTGAAAGAAGATGGCTTTCTTAACCCCCATTGTCTCCCGGCTGGAATGTCTCTCCGCCCGCCCCACTGCACCTGTGCACACGGTAGAGGATGGCGCAGGTGAAGAGGGTCCAGGTGAGGAGCCCTCTCGGGGGGCCATACCACTAAGATCTAAAGGTGCTGAGCAGAGGGGTGAGGAGACCCAGTCAGGGGTGACTGAGACTCGGCAAACAAGGTGACCCCCAGCTTTTCTCTAGCAGTGGAGGTGGGGAAGGCAGGTGCTCAGAGCCGATGACAGACGGTGCTGTCCTGGGGGCTGGGCCTGTGTTCATCCCCCGGTTTTGCTGCTAGAGGCTGTGGGAGCCGAGTCCAGTGATTTCTCTTGTCTGGGCCTTTGTTACAAGAACAGAAATGACACGCACAACCTCTAACGTCCAGCTGAGAGCTTGTCCTGGTTGAGAGTGAGCTGTTTTTTCCAAAACTGAATGCACTGGCCAGCTCACCTGGCATCTGGGAGACCCAGGTGTTGGGCCTGGCAGCCCTGGCGGCCCTGCCACCGGGCCGTGAGCAGGAGGAGTCAGACCCAGCTAGGCAGAGGAGAAGGTGGACAAGGCAGGGGCTTCGGCAAATGGAGACAAGGGTGGCGCCATGCCCAAGCCCACAGGACGCACCCTGTACTTCCTCCTGGTACAAGTCTTGGCGTTTCCAAACAGTCTTTACTCCACAGTGTTTTCTTAGCAGGGCTGCGCTGGAGTGCAGGAAATAATCTCATTAACTGTATTATTGCTGTGGAGGCAGGACAAGGGGATAGATTTGCCCGTAAGTTCATTGAACTCGGCTCACTTAAAAGGCAAACCACAGAGTTGAGACAAGTGCCCTGTAGCAAATTTTCCTTGAGCTCAGCCTGGCTCCGGCAGTGTATAGGAGAGATCCCGAGTATGGGAGCGATCGCAGCACCCCGCCTGCAGCCACTTGGGGGTCTCCTATCTTTTCTCTGGGGCTCAGATTTCTGGAGCAAACTAAGGGACCTGGACTGAGGCAGAGGCAGAGGTATTGTCAGCAAGCTCAGAGTTGGGGGGACCCTGCACTGCTCCCCTGACTGCCGCACAGACCTCCATTTTGGCCCCTGGGGCCTTTTGCCTCTCAGCAGCCACTGACCTTCCTGAAAATTGTGCCCAATCCTGCTCTGCCCCAGTCCATCAAAGGCATCTGCCCCCAGCCAGGGACCAGCAGGTTTCGCCCAGCCCTGCTCCCCCTACGGCTACTTCCCTCTCAATAGCTCAAGTCACTCTAATGGTGACTGAGGCTCTGGGGACAATTTCACACTTCCAGTTAGGTTCTTTATGCAACCCTCCCATCTTCAGTCTTCATCAGGACCCACACCAGTGTCACTGCCTCCCAGGAGCCCCCTAGGCCCTTCTGTGCCCCCTCCCCGGCAGGATCTGTCTCAGCAAGTCCTTAGGTCCCCGGGGAGGAACTGGCCCGAACACAGCGCTCACAGGTGACTTCCCTGTTCAACGGCTGCCTTTCTTGCACCAGGAAGAGACAGGTGTAGCCCGAGGCTAGCGGCCGGGAGGATGACTTCAGGAAATCACGTTACTCATCCACCCGTGACTAGGTGTTCGGGGAGGGACTGTATGGGGGTCTGGTACCCTCCTCTTGCAGGCTCTGTGGTAGGGTTGGGGGAATGGTCAGCACCCCCAATGTGGTTGACCTCCAGGTGGACACCCAGGGCCCACCCTGGCACAGGTGGCTGCCCTGTCCACCAGGCCCCCTAGAATCAGCACCCTGAGGACCACGGGGCTGGGGGACATGGTGGTGCCAGGAAGGGCACCTGTCAGGAGCTCTCAGCTCATCCCTTTGCAGGCGAGGTGACCAACCTTGTGTCCCTATCACCAAGCAGGTGACCACTGTGCTACCGTGTCAGGATGACATTAGATCACTAAGTCGTGACCTCACTCAGGCGTCTGGCCTTGGGTCCTGTCTGCTTCATGCTGAGAGCTAAAATAACAGCAGAGACATAGCTGCCTAATACACTTCTTGGTCACAGCAGGACAGGTGTGGGCACTTGAGGGGGTGGGCGAGAAGCAGGGTTCAGATACCGGGGCCAACCTGCCCTAGGCCATAGCTTGTGGAGCCAGCTTAGGCCTGTGAGAAGCACCCGTCCTTCCTCCCCTCCTGGGAACCAAGCCATGCATGTGTTCGGTCCCACAGCTTGCAACGTACACGGGGACGGGAACAAAATAACTACATGTGTTAGGTACCTTCACCATACCTGGTACAGGTTTTAGCACTTCATTTGCATTCATTCAGAGGGCAGTATTTGAGGGTCCAGGCCTGCCGTAGGTGCTGAGGACAAGCCTGCAGAATAGGCCAAGAGAATAAATAGAAAATAGAGTAGACTGTGGGAAGCAGCCAACTTCCAACTTCTGGAGGTTTGAACAGAGCCCTGAGGAAGCGAGGTCAGGGCACCCAGGATACCTCCAGGCATTGTGAAAACACACAGGTGAGCCCTTACTGTCCCCACTCTAAGGATAAGGACAGTCAATTCCAGGTCTGTCACCAATGCTTGCATTCCTCCCACTGCATCTTGCTGCATTCCTGTGATTGACCCTCCATAGAGCGTGGTTTTTGTTTTGTTTTTAATTCTAAATCCCCAAGTGAATTGGAGGTGGACTGAAAAGAAAGTCAGGCCTGATGGTACACGCTTACAGTCCTAGGCTGAAGCAGGACTGTCATGAGTTTGAGACCAGCCTGGGCTACATATCAAGACTCTGTCTCAAAACAAATAAGTGAACAACAAAAAAGACTGAAAAGGGCCCATGGATCTCTCCCCTACAGCTGCCAACAGCTGGTAGCACTGTGGGGAAAGGGCTGGGTTTGTGTTCTGGGCCTGGGGATGCCCCTGTCTGATCAGCGTGTGAAGATGAATTGGATTCCCCAGGGTTACCTCTGTGTGTGCTTGGGAGTGGTTCTAAAGCTCCCTGCACCCCAGCATAGATGCTCATGGCTCCTGAAGGCAGAGGCAGCAACCTGTGTTTGAGTCGAAAGGCCTGGCTCATCCTGACACTGGCGTGTGGCGTCTGGCCACCCACACAGACCTCAGGCAGACAGAAGTCCAGGAGTCAAGAGCCGGGCTTGACCCAGGACAGCTGGCCCTTGTGGAGAGGCTTCTCCCCCAGCCCTGAGGAAGCTGACCCAGGACTGGCCAGGCGAGTGGCAAGTGGCCCAAGGACAGGCCTGAGCCTGGGTCCTCTGATGGCTGCAGCTGGTCCCAGGACCACCCCACGAGACAGAGGCTACCGAGGCCCCCGGGGACCTATGGCCCAGGGAGAGGGATATTTCCTCAGCAGGATTTATGTATATGTGCGTGTGAGTGAGTGTTTAACAAGGAGGAGGCCTGAGCAACTTCTGAGCCTGGAATTTATACAACCCCTCGTTGGCGGCTGCAGTTTATCTTGAGCAAAAGAATAATAAACTCGGTTGACAGGATGATGTATTCAAAGCATCCTCTGTCACAGTGCAGAGCCCTGCCCGCTGTTAGGATGTCTGGCATGGTGGGGACCGTGTTATCGAGTGTTTAGCCCCCGTGGATTGTCAACAACACATTGTTTGCAGGCTCGAGCCAGGCGGAGATGGGCCAGGCCTGGGTGAGAATGGGGGGTCTGGCCACTGCCAGGCGGGGGTCAAAGAGGCTGCTGCCTTTGATGGAAGCCCAGGCTGGTTCAGCCCAGCCCCCTCTGGCTGCCCGAATTCTTCATCATCCTACCTGGGGGGCAGAGTCCTGCCTGCCACCCTTGACGCTGGGAAGGGGACAGACTAGGACCTCAGGGTGCCCCACAGTGTAGGGAAACCATCCCCGCACTTTGATTTCCATTTCTTCCTAATGAAATGAAGACATGAGCATCAAACCACAGCTTGAAAAGAAACATACGAATCCTGAGGGGTGGCTCAGCGGCAGAGTGCTTACCTGGCATGCACAAGGCTGTGGGTTCTGTCCCCAGCCCTAAATTGAATGAATGAATGAATAAATAAACCTTGCCAACTTGCTAACCCTCAGGCAGGGCGAGAGAAGCCATTCTGGCCCCAGGTCCCCAACACCCATGCAGCAACCTCTAACCCATCTTATGTGGCCTATGAAAGAGAACCACATTTCTTGCTATCTGTTTCATAAGCTACACACTGAAGCCACACAGTTAGGCAAACACCTGGAGGGAGAACACCTGGAGGGAGAAGATGAATTCAGATCATCTCTTTTTTTTTTTTTAAATTTCCCTCCAAGCAGCCTCAGCCTCTTTTCCTGGAAGTCCCTTCTTTGACCTAATCCTGGGCTGTCTTATTTCAACTCCAGCTGTTCCAGGAAAATGCTTCATGCCTGTGTCTAGTTCCAATTCCCTCTTCTTGTCTGGATTTCTGCTCCTGATTCCTCCCTGCTCTCAGTTGAGGGTTTCTTTTCCCCCAGCTCCAGGACCTCTGCTTTTTAGGGAAGTATATATGCTTGTCCTGCTCCTAGAAATCAGGGTGACCCAACGACAGTGGCAGAGACAGGGAGGAAAAGGAGGCCCTGGGCCCAGGGCCTGACCACACAGCAGGCTGTATTCTAGGTGTCAATATGGAGTGTCCTCTGGCCCCTCAAACAGCCAGAATCACCACCATTTTACAGGTAGAGAAACTGAGGCTAGAGAAGTTTCAGTTTCTTATTCTCCTGCAGGCTGCAGAAGGAAGACCTGGGCCTAGCAGGTTTGGCTGGCCCTAGGGCTGCCCTTGAGCCCCTTGGAGCAGAAACAAATTCTCCTAGAGCTCAGGATCCAATAGCTGGACTGATGGGGTGCAGTCCCCCAGGAAAGCCCAGGGGAAGCAGCGGGGGAAGGGAAGGCAGCAGAGGCTTGTAGGCCAGGGAAGCCCAGAGCCAAGTGGGGGAGGGGCTCAGATTTGAGCACAGGATGCTATGAGCCTTCTCAGGCTGGGCCAGGGCTGCCCACAGCAGGCACCGGTCTCCTCAGAGCCTCAGCATTTATTTCCTCAGCATTTATTTCCACAGTTGTCACTGCTCACCCAACCGTAGCATCCATGATTGGTCAAGGAGTCAAGACCCTCAAAGTCTGGCAGCAGATAGTGTGGGTCCCGCCCATCCATTCATCGTTTATCCATTTGTCCATCTATCTGTCCATCTGTCCATCTATCCACCCATCCATCCATCTACTCATCCATCCATCTGTTCATCTGTCTGTCTGTCTATCCCAGTACTGAATGCCTACTGTGTGCAAATCTGCACTTGTCCTCTGGATCCACAGAGCGGGGAGGAGCAGGCATACACCTCAGAACCATGTAGCCCTGTGCCCTTGGGTCTCCATGGACCACGGAGATGAATGAGACCAACTTCTACCTGCAGCTGGATCAGACTGCCTGAGGGCATCGGGCAGAGGGCAGCACTCCCCCTGGCACAGATCATGAACAGAGATCAGAAGGCCAGTGCTGCTGGTCCTCAGAGGGAAGCAACCATGCCTTTGAATGTGTGTTGATTCATTTATTTATTCCACTCTTCATCTGGTATTGAGCATCCTTTGTGAGTCAGGCAGGGCTGGAAACAACAGGAGGCCCTTGGAGGAGGTAGGCTCTCTGTCCCCTCTGTGGGCACAGACAGAGCTGGGGTGGACCGCAGTCCTGGGGAATGAGTGGTGGTGGTAATGAGGGGGTGCCACCTGGGGCAGGTAGAGGAGTCCTGTGGGAAGTGGCATCTGGGGGCTAGACCACAGGAGGGGGACCCATGGGGGGAGGATGGAGGCCTGGGAGGGCAGGGTCACTCCAAAGGAAAGAGCTGAGCTCTGTCCAATCCACAGTGGGGGCCTTTGGATACCGTGCTTTGCAACAAAGAGCAGCACAGTTGGAACTCTGAAGCCCCGGTTTTCTGGTGTGCACCCCCTAGGGTGGATTTGCATGCCCATCTGCATATGTTTGCATGAAGCCTGCTTCACCCATACTCATCTCAGGCATTTTGATGTGTGCCCTTGTCCCCTCTCCCAGCTGGCTGTCCCTATGCTTTCTTTCCAAAGATTGGATGGAGTGGGAGCCTGCTCAGCGTTTCTTGGAAGTGAAGCTGCCCATGAGAACCCAGTCATCGGGCCCAGCCACACTGTGCTCCAGTCCCCAAAGATCACCAGCCACACTGAGCTCTGGAGGCTTGGAGTAGGAGCGGCCTGGGGACTGTCACTGGGAGAGCAGCTAATGGAGTGATGAGAGAGCGTCGCCTACTAGTCTGGAGCTGTCGCATGTGGCCGCCTGGCTGACCAGAGGGCAGGACCTGGGCGGGGCTGGAGACGCCTGCAGGGCCTGGCCCAGCTGCTCGGCCTGCAGTGCACACCCCTGTGCGCACATAGGCGCTTAGGGTACACGGTGAGGAGATTTGACTTGCAGATCAGCGCAACCTGCAGTTGAGGAGAGAGTTGGGAGCACTCAATGACTCTAGGCACGTTCCCTCTGCTCTCAGAGCCTCTGTTTCCCCTCCTGTGCCACAAGGTACAGTGCAGGTGTTTGCAAACTCCCACGGACAACCTAAGCTCACCGTCTGGTCCCCAGAGGGGATCCTCATGTCATGGAAAGGCTACTGTCCTCCCTGGAAATCTCCACTTGCCCAAAGGTTGTTGGGACTGGTTGTTGGGACAGGCAGCACACACAGAGGCTGCCACTGACAGACATAGGGTATGATGTGCTGGGTGCAGCCAGGAAGCTGCAGGCCCCCCTCAGCCCATCCTACTGTCTCTGTGCAAGTCGGGAACAGCAGTGTTCCCACTGCAAAAGGACAGACAGAAGCAGCCGCGGCTGCCCTCAAGGCTTCTGCGCACCAGCCCAACCCTGGCCAGAGTTCCTGAGTCATACACACACACACACACACACACACACACACACACACCCCTCCTGTCTCCTCCCCCAGGGCCGTGGGAGGCGCAGCTTGTGCCCAACAGGCTCCCTCTGGCTTGTGAGTTGGTGTGAGGGCCGCTATCCAAGACGGCTACCTCCTGCTGGTTACTTACTGTGGACACCACAGGCCTCCAGCTTCTGCTTCTCCAGGCCAGACTCTCTGCTGTCCCAGGGGACCTGGATTCTGACCCTCCCTGTGACTCAGAGACAGCGTGGGGACAGACAGATCGGGTGCGAGGTGCTGGGGCCTACCTCCCCGTACCGATAGCTTCCCCATATTCTCTCTCACCCCAGTGTGATAGGGTCTCAGGGGGCCACACCACCCTTCACTCCGAAAGTGAAGCAACGGGCTAAGATCGGTGGTGTGTTTATCTACTTCTTCCCTTATGCTGGGGCTCCCTGTGGACAGCGCAATTGAAGGAAGGGGCACTGACAGGACGAACTTGGGGATCATTAGGCCAATAAAATCATCTGTAGGTCCTCAGTTGCTAGCCCAGGATAAGTCTTTGAAGGATGATTTTCTTCCTTTGCTTTTTAAAATCTGGAGGATAGGTTGTTCACAAAAACAGATCTTTAAAGGGGGTGGAAAGTTAAAACAATCAAGACTCATACCAATACCCTGCCGTGAATATACTCATTATGTCACAAATATATACTAATAAATTTTTTAAAAACAGATTAGAGATTGGGATCACTAAAATAAATTTTTAAAAGGCTAAATTTACAAAAAAATTTTTAAAAGGCTAAATTTACAAAAAAATTTTTAAAAAGAAAGAAAGAATGGAAGGGAAAAAGAAAGGAAGAAAATGATTATAGGAGAGAGAAAACAAGAAAAGAGAGAAAGGAAAGAAAGAGAAAGAAGAAAAGAGGAAAAAAAGAGGCTGGTGTGGTGTCAAATACTTGTAATCCCAGCACCTGGGAGGCTGAGGCAGGAGGATCACTGCAAGTTTGAGCCCAGCCTGGGCTACAAAGTGAGTTCAAGGCCAGCCTGAACTGCATAGTGAAATCCTGTCTCAAAAAAAAGACCAAAAAAAAATTTTTTTTTATGAAAGAGAAAGGAAGGAAGGAAGAGAAAAGAAAGGGACAGAAAACCCCTGCAGAGGAGTTTATTTGTTCAAAATCCTCTTATCTCCAGCACTTGTCCCTGCTTCGCCTGCAAGGTCTTCCAGACAAGCTGGCTTTTCTTTGGGTAACAAGAAGGCGCCAGGTCCCAGGCATGGCCCTCAGATGCTGTGAGGAGCGGACAGAGGCTCCTCACTTCAGCGGCTGCTCTGAGCCCATGGCAGACCTGGGGACCCAGAACAGGGGATGTGACTGCCCAGGCTCTGCAGGAGGACTCTGTCTCCCACTGTGACCCTCATCCTGGGGACCGCCACCAGGCCAAAGCTGCTCAGCCCTCCCGCCAGCAGCCTCCTCCCAGGGCCCTTCCTCAAGTCAGCCTTTCTAGAAGTTTCTGTCCACGCCATACTCTCCCTGGCTCCCTGTCTGTGTGTCTGTCCTTTCAACACGTGCAGCTGCGTCTCTGAGATGTGCCAGGCGTGAGAGATAAAGATCCTGGAGCTGGACTCCAGGGAAGGAAACCAGATGTCAACAGTCAATTAAAGCCCTTGTGGGGCGAGCGTGGCTAGGCCCCTCCCCCACACCTGCACCCGGCATGTCCAGTGTCACCCAGGGCCGGCTGTGTGCTCCTAGGTTGCCTCCTCCATCCCACAGAACTGAATGCGGGCTGGATGCTTTAAATCACTTGCTCAAGGCCTCAGCTTGTGCAGGTCAGAGCTGAATGCACACCCTGTCTGGGCTTAAGGCCCAGCCCAAAGCCACTTAGCACCCAGCCTTCCCTGGAGTTTCTCAAGCTGCCCCCTACCCCTTCCTCTCCTGAGGGGGAAAGTCCACTGCCCACCAGCTGAGCCCAGGGCTCAACCCTCCCTCAGCGGCCTCCATCTCCCAGGGCCCTTCCTCCAGCACAGCCTTTCCAGAAGCTTCTGCCCAGCCACTAGGGGAAGTGGCTGGCACCTGGGCCCTCCCATCCAGCTCTTCCACCCCACCGTGCAGCTGTGACCTTTCCCCATGGACAGTGGCACTGTCTGGCAGGACACCTCTCCCTACCAGGCCCAGACAGGCCCAGAGTGGGGCTCCGGGAGCAGGCGTGGGCACTGAGGGCTGGCCTATGGCCAGTGCCAGAGAGGTAAAGGCAGGGGCTCTGCCCATAATGACAGGACCAGGGAGAGCATCCCCAGGCCCCTCTGGGAAGTCTGTCTCCCACTGGCCAGCCTCAAGCCTGTTTCCTCTGCGAGGCTGACAAGGAACAGCCACAACTGGGGATGGTTTTGGTTTGGCTCTGAAGGCCCTAGGAGCCCACATTAGGCCCCTCACTGGGAAGTTTAGCAGGGCTGTGCAGAGCTGGGGACATTGTGAGGTGTGAGGGCAGCAGAGGAATAAACCCAATACATAGAAAGAAAGGAGCTAGGAGCAGATGAGGTACCCTCGTGAATTCACTGTGTCCTGGGCACCTACTCTACACTGGCCTGTGCTGGCTCTGGGTGCGCAAGGTTAGCCACAGCATGGGCCATGCTGTTAGAGCCCCTGAAGCGTATGTGCCCAGCGTTCAAGCAGAGCAGGGGCAGCAGGACGGATGAGCAGTCACAGCAGAGGCAGAGCCAGAGGACCAGGTCTGTGCCAGGGCTGTAGGCCCCTGATGCCCCGCCCCCTGGCTACCAGCCCCTTCCCCCTACCAAGCACAACTTGTGACCAGACAGGGAGGTGCTGCTTGGTCAGTAGTCCCTGTCCTGGTGTGGGGACTGTGATTCAGGGTCTTGGGGACAGCTGCCATGGTGAAGGCTCCTCGAACCTTCTGAGCCTCCCCCATCAGTCTGGAAGCCCCACTAGGGCTGGAAGGATGGGGACAGAGCTGATGGCAGTCCTGGCCCAGCACCCAACAGCCGGAGAGGAAGTTGAGACAGAGACGGGAGAAGCAAGGCCCCACTGCGGAGGCCTTTAAGGATTAGAACCTTCCTGTTCCCCTGGCCACCCAGGTGTAGCAGACCATGCTGAACCCAGGACGCCCTGTCAGGCCTGCACCCCATGACCAGAGCATGCACCCATGAGGGTGTGCCCACACGGGCCCATGCCTGTTGTTTTGTGCGTGTGCACACGTGTGCACACGGCTGTGCAGGCCATGAATGCGGAGACCCCAGGAACTCGAGGACTTGGCCTCCCTTCCTTCCTAAACCGCAAGGCCGCTGGCCGGCCTCAGGTCTTGGTTTCCTCAAGGCCGCAGAGGCTAATGAGAAACAGACTCAGCTGCCTGCGGGGTGGGTGGCCTGGGCCGGGGACCGAGGGCCCGACAGCCCTGTATTCAGTTGGCTCCTGAGAATCCCAGCGCTTTCTCTCTCACGAGGGACCCGTAAGCCATACAAGTGAACTCTCAGCCGGGTGCTGCCTGCCCTGCCATTGCTGTGACAGGGAAGGTGGGGGGACAGCCACCAAGTGCTCTTTGGTGGATGAAGGAACCGGTGGCCTGGAGGACCTGGCCCGTCCCCTATGGAAGGAGCCTGCTCCCTTCCACAGAGGACTCAGACCCTCCCAGCCTGGTGGCTCAGAGGGTGCCCTAGAGCCAGAGGATGGGTAAGGTGGTGCCTGAGCTGTGCCCCTTTCCACCCACCAGCCAGACCCTCAGGGCCCTGCATCTAGGTCCACTGCAGGCTGATGGCCGGGAGTTGTTAGGAAGATTCCTGGGCTCGTCCACCGGAGCCCAGACCAAGCAGGACAAGGCAAGCCAGGAGCTCTGCCAGAGTCACCCCAGTACAGAACAGGGTAATGTTTGAGAGAAATGAGGTTCTGGGGACGTAGGTTTGAATTTTCACTCAAGTTTTTCCATCCTTGAACTGGGACTGGTAACGGAGAAAGTATCGTACAGGCTCCCTACATGGTAGAAACAAAACAATAATAAGGACAACAGCTGAGTGTCACCTAGCTGGGGCTTTTTGCCAGTCCCTCTCTGCCCTGACAGGGCTCCTACATAGGAGATTGGGTGGGACAGTGGGTGCAGAGCCCCAGCCCTCTGTCCCCCCCACGTAAAAGGCACCCCATGGATTTCCCAGCCGGCAGCTTCCCCCAGGAGGTCCTGCTCTCCTGGGAGACACAGCCCAGAGCCCCAGAGCCAGACCTAGTCCTCCTGCTAATTGGCTAATTGTCTGCTGCTGATGGCTGGAGGTCTCGATGTGCCTGGCCCGGGGCCCTCAAATGGCCAGCTCCCAGACGCTCCAAGCAGAAAGGATTAACAAGCAGGCTGGGTTTGCTCACCTAAGTCCTTATCAAGGCCCCGTCCTTCAGCAAGGGAGGGCAAATGTTTTCCTTCTGCAGGCCGAGAAGCCCAGGAGGCTCTGGAGAGGCGGAGGAGGGGACGGTAGCAGAGGAGGGTAGGCATGCTGGGCTCCTCCCTGTAGCCCGCCTGGTCTTCTCCACCTCCTTCCTCTGGAACAGAGCCTGGGCTCAAACCTGTGGGCTTGCCCTGACCCCCAGGAACCTGCGTTACAGATGGGGGTGCGGGTACCACCAGACTCTGGGGCCGAGGCAGAGGAAGAACTCCAGGGGGACCCAAGCCAGGGAGCCCAGGCTGCACCTGAGAAAGAAGTGAGAGAAGGACCAGGCCCATCGGGGAGACACTGAGGAGCAGGCTGGGTGGATCACAGGGCTGCCAGAGACCCCACACTGGACCAAGACAACAGGAAGGAGGCGCTGGCCCAGAGCGGAGAAGGTGGATGGGCTTGCACCGTGTGGAGTGCACTGCAGGGTCTAGCCCACTAATCACCCCCTGCCCCAGTATCTGCACAGCCCACCAGGCTTCTGCCATCTTTTCCATGGTACAGATGAGAAGTCTTAGGCTCAGACAGCCTGAGGATCCTACCCCTTTCACACAGCTGGCAATGCCAAAGCCGTGAACAGTCCACTGTGCCAGTGTCCAGCCCTGCCCCTAACTTCCGCTCTGCCCAATGCAGGAGTCTGTGAAGGACCCCAAGTCTTTGCCCCTTATCTAGGGCCTCTCACCTACCACACTGCCCATCTGCATGGAGGGGCCACACATCTCCCCCTCCAGGGAGCTCCTGAGTGCCCCACACCCCTAGCCACTGCTGAATGGCCCAATGTTGGCCAGTGCACTGGGCGTTGGGTCCCTGTTTCTGTGAGAGGCTGTGTGGAACAGGGTTTGGCATGGGCTCCACTCTCAGCCCCAGCTTTGAAACCTAGCTCTCAGCTGTGCACTTTTGGACCCTCTGTGCCTCAGTTTACCCATCTGTAAAATGGGGCCATAACAGCACCTAACCCCAAGGCCAGTTCAGATTTCATGAAATGTTAAAGGGGTAAAATGAGGCTCTGGAGAGATACAGGTTTTCCCCAGTGTCACGGGGTATGTCTGCAGCACTGCCCACTGGGGTGTAAAGAGTGAGACCCACAACAGAAGTCCCTTGGCCATGACGTTGCAGGGTTCCCATGGCTGTGAATGCTCAGAGCCCGGCCCTGGAAGGCTGGAGAATGGCAGCTTCCGGGCCAAGCCCTCTCCCACCTACCTTTGCAGCCCCACACTCCTTGGGGCGCCATTTCCACCTGACCCCAGTGGTCAGTCTCGGCCAAGCACAGGGCTGTGTACAACAAGCCTCCATTGTCTGTGCTGAGTGCACC